TCTGTCTTATACATTATGCTTGTGATCTTTGACATGTTCCATAAGTTTAATCAGCATTTTGGCATTGAGCTGTAATACTGCACACCTCTCTGCACCTGGTCACAAACGCCTGTGATTGAATGCCATGTGTTTTACACGTTCCTTAGATTCTGTTTGAAGTGATCACCCACATCACTGAGGCCTGGCCTCTTGCAGTTGGGGTGCTGATGGCTTTTGGCTCAAGTTCTAGTACCTGTGTGTGTTTACTCTATCTGCTGGCCACAGACATCAGGAAGCACATTCACTGCTTGGCAGACATCCAGCTCTCCTGATCCTGTGAGAAAGCGAGAGAGTGTGCTACATCTGCACCAGATGTACGGCTGCACAGGGCCGATCGTTAGGGTCAGATTGACGTGTGCTTTGAAGAGGTGAAAAATCCTGATTACCTTTTGTTCTCACATTTTCCTAGTGCAGGTAAGTAACTGCTGGCCATCACTAGGCTAACATTCCACTGCTAGACACTACATTTTCTTACCCAAAATTCTCCCATCCAGACAGAGGAGTGTTGTGGGTTCACAGAGCCAGCCATGTGTAGCTGCCTACATGTTTCCACTACTGACACAATGAAAGGTGCACTAAAAATGAATCTGCTAGGATTAAGTCAATTGCTGTAGTGTGTTGTAAGAGGACACTGAAAAAGCAACACTACACTTTCTGGCCTACAGTCATCTAAAGGTAAATCATGCTCTTGATGTCTCAGCATGGGTACTGGGGAAAATTGAAATCTGTGGAGGTGTTAATTTTGCAGACTGTATCCTGAACAGCACAAGCTATGACACGTTCACTATAAATAGCTAGCTGTGCTGTTTTAGTTGAGATTACATTAAAATAAGTGGTACTCTCAAACTAACCATCCGTAAATGCATGAAGAGTGGATAAGACAAAATAAAATGGCAACAGGATAACATATGGCATATTGAACAAATCTGAAAGAGATAAATGAAAATTCTGTCATCATTTACTTACCCTCATGCCATTCCAAATTACTTTTTCTGTGGAAGAAAAAAGAAATATGATGTTAGGAAACATGCAATATTTACACTAACATTCCAACCTTTGTTGGAGCTCTTATGCTCACCAAGGCTGCATTTATTTGATTAAATTAAAAATGGAAATATTTTGAAATATTCTAACAAATTTAAAATAACCGTTCTTTATTTTAAAATTTAATTTATTCCTGTGATGTCAAAGCTGAATTTTCAGGATTGTTACTTCTGTCTTCAGTGTCACATGATCCTTCAGAAATCAATCCAATATGCTGATTTGCTTATTTCTTATTATCATCAATGTTGAAATCAGCTGTGCTGCTTAATATTTTTGAGGAAACCATGATACAATTTTCAGGAGTTTTGGATGAACAGAAAGTTCAAAGAACTTTCTTTCAGAAACAACATAAAATCTTTCTGACGACGACAACATCAAAAAATCCTTTGGATGGTATTGTATGTCAAAATATTAGAGGAGCACTATAACAAAATGCAACTCTTAAATGCTCATTTATAAACCCACAAACAAGCCTGTTTAGGGTAGACTGCTGCACATACAGTTTTAATGTGAAGGACTAATAACCTACTGCCACAATGAATTCTCCCCTAATCATCTTTAAAAACCACACAATTACACTGATGATGAAGTGTGCTGCCCTAAATTTGAAAATATGTAGGACATTTTTGTCTGTATTTTCACAG